TGTTTTTATAAATGACCTGGAGGAAGACATAGTGGGGATGCTTATCAAATTTGCAGATGACACGAAGCTGGGTGGGATTGCTAATTCTGAAGAAGACAGAGTCAGGATTCACAATGATCTAGATAGGCTGAGACAAATAAAACGAATTTCAATAGAGATAAATGCAAAGTCCTACACTTAGGTACAAAAAAGCAAAGGCATAGATATAGAATGGGAGGGACTTGGCTTGACAGCAGCACACGTGAAAGGGATCTAGGTGTTCTGGTTGATCACAAGCTAAACATGAGCCTGCAGTGCGATGTGGCTGTGAAGAAAGCTAATGCAATCTTAGGATGCATTAACAGAAGCATTGTGTCCAGATCAAGGGAGGTGGTAGTTCTGCTCTATTCTGCTATGGTCAGGCCTCACCTGGAGTACTGTGTCCACTTCTGGACACCACATTTTAAGAAGGATGTTGACAAGCTCCAGCATGTCCAGAAGAGGGCAACCAGGATGGTGAGAGGGTTGGAATCCAAGTCTTATGAGGAAAGGCTGAAAGAGTTGGGTATGTTTAGCCTGGGAAAGAGAAGGCTTATTTGAAGGGCTGTCATGTAGAAGATGGAGCAGATCTATTCTCTCTTGCTCCGGATTGCAAGACTAGATCTAATGGGTGGAAATTACAAGGGAGTCGTTACCGGCTAAATATCAGGAGAAACTTCCTAACTGTAAGAGTGGTTGAGCAGTGGAACAGTCTGCCTCGGGAGGTGGTGGATGCTCCTTCGCTGGATGTTTTCAAGTGGAGGCTGGACGACAATCTTTCAGGTATGTTGTAGATATGTAGGGCTATCTTTCACCTATGCTTTTGCAGAGTGGAGGGGGTTGGACTAGATGACCCACAAGATCCCTTCCAACTCTAACCTTCCATGATTCTATGATAGGATTCTATGAACATTTGGGAAGTCTGAACCTTCTCTTCCGTTTCTGCCTGCTTTGTGGTTTTTTGTTTTTTTTAATCAGATAGTTGTATGTGCATAAGTGCCCCTGGCACTGTCAATCACCATGGCCAAATAGTCATTCTCCTTCAGTGGAGGGAAGTCATCCAGGAACTGGTTAGGTCATGCCTCTGGTTGCTCGGATAGGCAATGCAAATTTCTTTTGTTGCGTGGCTCCTATTGGAGTGGCCTAGGCTGACCTCTCCAGTTCCTTCATAGCCCTGCGCTCGGTAGGACTTCTGGAGCTCCTGCTCCAAGACAGAGGAATTACAAATAAATCAAAGAAAACACAAAAAGGAGATAAAACTCTACAGGCAAAGAAGACCCTTCTCTTCCATCCTTGCAGACTCCAGGAAAACTGGAGGAGACCGCGGATGGCCCAGGATGGGAAGAAGAAGAAACGGCCCCCTCCACCTTCCGAGGCACCGGGAGGGGGACAAAAGGCCATGACGGAGGTCCCCATGGAGCAGCAGCCCAGCACTCCCGAGGCACCGGGAGTCAGGCTGCAGAACAATAAGTGGCTGGAAGAAGCGCCGCTGCAACTGCCGAAGGAAG